AATTATAACAATATGCTGTAATAAAAGTTATGTGAATGTGGTCTGGTCTTTCTGAAAATATTGCACTCACCCTTCTTCTTGCAATGATGTGAGATGACACAATGCCTATGTGATGAAATGAAGTGAGGTGAATAACGTAGGCATTGGAAGGTAGCATTAGGCTACTACTGACCATCTGACTATACACAACGAGCATTTTACGGCTTCTCTTTGGCATACCCAAATTGCCAGAATCACTACTCTTGCACTTTGGGGGTTATTATTAAGTAAAATAAAGGTTATTTGAAAACAAGCAATGATAGAACTGACAACCGAAGTGGCTACTAAGTGACTAAGGGATAGGTTAAGAAGCCTCTACAGTGTAGAGACTTGAGACAAAAGGGTGATTCACGTCCAGGCGGGACCTCGTGACATCTCCTTACACAGCTCAGAGCAGCATGAGATTTAAAGCCATGAATTGTTTATTTCTAGATATTTCTATTTAATATTTTTGGACCGTGGTGGACCATGGATAAGTGAAACTACAGAAAGTGAAACTTTGGATAATGAGGGGAATATGTACCTTGTTCAGAGAATACGTATTGAATTATTTTTCGAGCAGATGTGATTTTTTTTCTCTCTAAATTTGTGGTTTTGAATTAATCAATAGATTAACTACCAATCATCTGGGACAGTTAATAAAAATACAGACTCTCCTGTGGTGAGATTTTGGCTGAGGAAGTTGTGTGTGTGTACATGTGCATGTGTGTGTGAATGTGTAAATGCACAGCCAATTACAGGATCAAATTACTGATAGTTTCTCACAATACCCCAAATTAGCAAGACTTGCCTGAAGTTAAGATAATAGACTGCTACACACTGAATGTTTATTTCCACACCGCCCCCCGCCCCATATCTCATAATATTTGAAGCCCTTATCTCATAATATTTGAAGGTGAGAGTTTTGGGAGATAATTAATGTCAGATTAGGTCACGAGGGTGGGGATTTCATCATGGAATGAATGCCCATCTAATAAAGAGAAACAGATATGAGAGTTATCTCTCTGTATTATGTGAGGATATAACAAGAAGGCAGTTTTTGACAAACCAGGAAGAGGATTCTCACCAGACACTGAATCTGCTTGCACCTTGATCTTGGACTTTCTAGCCTCCAGAGTTGTGAAAAACAGATATTTTTTATTTAAGTCACCTAGCCTGTGCTATTTGTTATAGCAGTCCAAATTAAGATAGCCTATCGCTTTGAAAAAGAATAGAATTAATGGGCCTCATGAGCCCCTTTTTCCTAATCAGTTGAACTTGGTGGGATGCTCTTTGAGGAAATGCTGAGATATAAGAAGCAAAGGCACTCCCTCAAAGAGCAAGGAAATTAAGGGGGCAAATACTGTTCTCAATCTTAGTGCCATTGTGAAGACTGTGCTCTAGAGATTTCTATCATCAGCAGTAGGACCATATCAACCTCTATTATTTCCCCATTTACCCATCACACATTGCTTCTTAGTTCAAAATATTATTCTAAAGGCACTTCTGTACAGTTATTTTTCAGTTTTCATAGCAGTATTTGAGAATGTTGCTCATTCTAATTTGCATAAAGAAAATCTGGGCATGGAAGTTATTCCATATCAAGGAGAGCATCATTAAAAGAAGCTTAGCTCTTCTGTTAAATTTTTTTTCTTTGTTATATTGTTTAATTCTTAATTATAACTTTTGGTTAATATATGCTTGAGAATATTTTAAAAGCACAGATATACCACTCAAATCATAATATTTTCCCATTTCATTAAATTATTTTAATTAAAATATTTTTAGGTAGAGCAGAAACAACCCCAATAACCAGCAACTGGGTGCATGGGTAAACAAAATGTGGAATATTCATATAGTGGAATATTATTCAGCCATAAAAAGGAATAAAGTACTTACATGTGCTACAACATGGATGAATCTTGAAAATATTATGCTAAGTGAAAGACAGACAGAAAAAGCCAAATATTGATTCCACTTATATGAAATGTCCAGAACAGGCAAATCCAGAGGGACAGAAAGTAGATTAGGGGTTGCCTGGGACAAGGAGTTACTGTGAATGGGCTTTCTTTCTAACGAGGTGAAATGTTCTAAAATTGGATTGTGGGAATGGTTTCACTACTGCAAATTTACTAAGACTCATTGAATTGTACATTTAAAGCATGTGAATATTATGGCGCATAAGTCATACCTCAATAAAATTATGAAAAAATTGTTCAAAATGCAAAATAGATTAATAATAGAATATGAGTTAGTCCTGAAAAAAAAAAAAACATTATTAGGAATGCACAGAGAAAACACTCAAAGAAACTACTCCAAACTTTGTCAATGGCTGTTTTGAATGGTGGAAAACATTTTTATCTTTAATTTTCTTCTTTCTCCTTTTTATTTTTCAAAATTATCTACAGTAAGCAAATATTTGAAAAGTATATTCTTATTTAAATATTTTCACATATCATATATCTGGGCAGCGAATAAAACTGAAACTTTTTTTATTTAAATAACTAGTGATCACAATAATCATTGGAGATTTTATTACCTGAAAGACTTCTAAAGTGGAATTAAACTGACTCAATTACGTGTAAGCATAGCAGACTTACAATCCTGGCTATGACAGAGTAGTTTGGATTATAATAACCATGCCAAAAAGAATAAATATAAAAGCTGGATAAAATACAAAACAACAACAGCAACCAGAATAAATAAACTAGCAAACAAACAACAGCTTTTTTAAGCCATCAGAAATCAACCAAAGCAGCCAGATTTTGAGGGCCCAAGATCCTGGATAGGTGATACCAACATTCGACACTGCTTTTTTCACTCCAAGCATTAGCAGATTCCTAAACTGTATATGAACAGGACAAGAAACTAAAACACCAAGCGGAAAGCAGCTACTGAGAGACTATAAAGGTAAACAAAGGATTGGCAGTCTTACAGTGCTGGGGAGAGAAAAGCTGTATGGAGTTCACCGCCTGACAAAAGGAGGAGCCTTGGTAAATGCTGTAGTTTTCAGCTGAGAATCTTAAAGGACTATGAACTAGGGCAGAGTTTCTTAACCTTGGCACTATTGACTTGTTGGGCTAGGTAATTTGTGTGTATTGGGGGCAGGGGGCTATCTTGTGAATTGTAGAATATGTGTAGCATATCTACCCACCGATGTCAGTAGCACTCATTCCCAACTTGTGATAATCAACAATGTCTCCAGATATTGGCAAATGTCCCCTGGGGTCCAAAGTCATCTTCAGTTGACAACTACTACCCTAGAGTTAAATAAAACCAGAAATAGACCAGCTTTCTCAATTGAAGCTTGAAATTAAAGCTTGAAATTCAGCTTTAATCATCTCAGTTTCTGATTAGAAAAGATGCTTGCCTCGTACTCTACCTGCATGCTAGAAAAAAAATTAAATCTTTTCTGAAGGAAGATAATGACATTCAGATCCTCTATAACTTTTCATCCCTAGTGTCTGAAATTTAATCAATATTTAGTAATCATTCTAGGGGACAGTGACAAATGACCCAAAACCAAGAGAAAAAAAATAAACAACAGGAAAAGACCTAAATGTGACCAGATATTGGAGTTATCAGAGAAGGACTTTAAAATAAGCATGACTAACATGTTCAAGAAATTAATTAAAAGATAGAGAATTTCAGCAAAATAACGGAATCTATAGAAAAATTAAATGGAAATTATAAAACTAAAAAAAAAACTGAAATTAAGCAAATAGCAATAGCAAAAAAGAGTAATCATGAACTAGAAGATAGATAAGTAAAAATATTCAAATTGAAGTACAGCAAGGAAAAACAGGCAATCCAGGATAGAAAAGAACGTAAGAGACATATGAAACATGTGCAAACCTAATATATACACATGTAAAATCAGAATTACAGAAGGAGAGGAGATAGAGAATTAGTAAAAACAATATTTAAAGAAATAATGGCTGAGAATTTAAACTGATTAAAGGCATCAAACAATAAATTCAAGAAGCTTTATGAACCTCATACCCATACTCATATATGTCATCATATTAATTGTGAATGGGTTAAACACTTCGATTAAAGTATAAAGATTTTAGTCTAAATTTTAAAAAAACTTTTGTGTTGCTCAAAAAAAGATGCACTTTAATTATAAAGACATAGATTGAAAAAAGTTGCACTATGCATATACTAACCAAAATAAATCTAAAGTAGCTCTGCTAAATCAGATAAAGCAGATTTTGAAGCAAGAACTATTTCTAGAGATAAAAAGGGACATTTCATAAATTGGTAAAATGACCAAATCAACAAGAAGATATAATAATCCAAAGTCTGCATTTACTTTAAAACCATAGGCTCGAAATACATAAAGGAAAAATTAACAGAATAAAAAAGAGGAATGGACAGATCTACACATATAATAGAAAAGTTAACATAACTCAGAAACAGATAAAACAAGCAGATAAATAAACCAGTTTAGATGTAAACAACAATTAAATTAAACGACATATTTTAACAACACTAGAAAACTTAAGCTAATTGATATAAAAAGAACACTATGCCCAAATCTGCAAAATACACAAACTTTTATAGCACACATGAAATATTTAACAAAATGGATTATATGCTGGACCAAAAAAAAAGCCTCCATAATTTCAAAAGATTAAAATTATATAGATTTATCTCATTCTAGTAGAATTAAGCTAGAAATAATTAACAGAATGGTAACTGGAATATCTCTCAAATGCTTGAAGATTAAACAGTATAATTCTAAATAACCCATGGATCAAGAAAAGGTCACAACAAAAAAATGTAAAGCATTTTGAACAAAATAATAGTTTATACAGAATGAATGTTTGTGTCCCCCTGCAAAATTTGTTATCTTGAAATCAAAACTACACTTTAAGGGAGAAAAAAAAGACTTTACTAGGGATGGGTAAATATATAACTAAAAAAGACTGGCTAAGGTAATTCAAGACATCTTTGGCATCCTGAAGAGACTCATGACCATGGCCCTTGCTATCACCACCACCCAGAAGATCACAGATGGCCCCTCTGGGAAGCTGTGGTGTGATGACCAAAGGACTGCCCAGATCATGATCCCTGCTACTACCGGTGTGGCCAAGCTGTGGGTAAGGTCATCTCTGAGCTGAATGGGAAACACTGGCATGGCCTTCCAGGTCTCCACCCCCAATGCGTTGGTCGTGGATCTGACCTGCCACCTGGAGAAAGTTGCCAAATATGATGACATCAAGAAGATGGTGAAACAGGCATCGGAGAATCCCCTAAAGGGGATCCTGGGCTCCACTGAAGACCAAGTTATAGCCTGTGACTTCAACAATGACACATACTCTTCCACCTTCAAAGCTTGAGGTTGGCATTGCTCTCAGCCACTACTTTGTCAAACTCATTTCTTGTATGACAATGAATTTGGCTACAGCAACAGGGCGATGGCTCTTATGGTCCACAAGGAGTAAAGCCTCCTGGACCAACAGCTCCAGCAAAAGCATGAGAGGAAGAGAGAGATTCTCAGCTGCTGGGGAGTCTTTGCCCCAACTCAATCCCCCAACACACTGAAAAACTCCTGTCCTTGATACAGTTTCCATCCCAGATCCCTGAAGAAGGGGAGGGGTTAGGGAGCCTTACTTTATCATGTACCATCAATAATGTACACTGTACTCAGCCAAAAAAAAAAAAAAAAGAGAGAGAGAGAGAAAGAGACTTAATTACAGATGGATAGATAGTTAGGTGTTAAACTAAATATGCTAAAATGTTAATAGCAGAATCTAGGAGACCTTTATATGAAAACTCACTGTAAAATCTCTCTATTTGCCTATATGTTTGAAAATTTCCACAACAAAATGTTGGGAGCTGGGCTTACCAAAAGATTGGGACTTGTAATGTAATATAGGTAGCAAGTTAACAGGAATCATGTTACTACAATGTTAAAGCAACCTGCAAGGTAATGTGAGAATTAATTACACATATGGACTAATAAATCTGTTTACAGATCACCATCATCTAAAGGCTTAATTGAGTGATTATTCAACATGACCTTTGCTCTGATTCCTGACAGGAAATTATTAAAGAGTGTGCCAACAAAAAAACATCAATCAATTGCTAGCTACTTAGTACAGGTTAAATTCTGTGCAATGACCACAAAGAAGGTCTTGTATTGCAATTTTTCCCCCAAGCCCAAGGATGAGTGCTCACAGAAAAAAAGACTTGGATTACAAACAATTAGAAAGCATTCAATACTCTTAGACTGCAAGTGCTTTCTGTCATTCAATCATTTAATGAATTGGACAACTATTTATTGGAATTTTACTATGTGCTGGCACTGTACAAGGCGATGAAGATTTTAAAAAAGCAGTGAATAAGAAGGTAAAATAATACCAGCCCTCACAGGGCTTGCAAAAGACCAAACAAATAAATAATATATATGTAACCTGTTGATAAGTATGACAGAGAAAAATAAGGACGTGAAAGGGGGTAGGAAGTTCTGGGGTGGAGATGAGACTGGGTTGTAATTCTAAGTTGGACAGACAGTTAGGAAAGGACATTTCCAGAGAGTAACTTTAGAGCAAAGACCTGAAGGAGGTGCAGGAGTGAGCCAGGTAAAAATATGAGGGGGGAACATTCCAGGTGGAGAAATCAGTCCCTATAAAGGCCCTAAACTGAAAACACACCGAGTGGGTCCAGGGAACAGCAAAGAGGCCAGGAGGCTGGAGCAGTGTGAATGAGAGGAAAGTGATAGGAGATGAGAGAAGAGAAGCAGGCTGCAGGAGACTGTGAGTCCTTTGAAGCCCTTGTATAAGTCTCTATGGACAGCAGAAGATTCTCAGCAGAAGAGTGACATGACTTGCTTTACATTAAACATTTGTTGGCTACTGGTGCTGTGAAGATGCCGAATGCCAGCCCTGCCTGTGGAGAGCTGGTTGCTACTGAGATTTACAAGCCTGTAGGACACAGGGCAGGAAGTGACAGATTACAAGCTACAAACCCAGCAGAGGGGAGCTCACCAACTCAGGGACAATCAGGGAAGGAAAAAATGAACCTAGCAGATGGATGAGACTTTGATTGGCAAAGATGAAGGGTGGACACTACGGAGAAGGGGCACCGTGTGAGAAGATGCATGCAGACCAGGGCAGGGACTGTGGAACATGGAGCTTGTGAGAGGTGGCAGAAGGGATGACAGAGGGGATGGACGGGTCAAGGGGCCCCCCTCCAAGAAGGTGGTGTTCTTTTGAATGTTGTTCTAAAGGGCTTAGAACTTATAGGCATAAGAGATCATCAAAATCTGTAAGCATAGAACTTGCTCATTATCTATAAAGTTAGTCCGGGCAGTTAGGTTGCATTTAGGTTTTTATTTTTTAGATATTTAAAAAAAATTTAATTGTGGTAAAAAACACATAACATAAAATTTACCACCTTAACCATTTTTAAGTGTACAATTCAGTAGTCTTTAGTATATTCACATAGTTGTGCAACATATCTTCACAACTTTTTCTACTTTCTGTCTCTATGAATTTGGATCCTCTAGGTTCCTCATATAAATAGTTTCATATAGTATTTGCCTTTCTTTGACTGGTTTACTTCACTTAATATAATGTCCTCGAGATTCATTCATGTTGTGGAATATGACAGAATTCTCTTTTTTTCAGGCTGAATAATATTCCATTGTATGCATATAGCACACATGTTGCTTATCCATTTATCTATCAATGGACACTTGTGTTGCCTCCACCTCTTGGCTATTGTGAATAATACTGCTATGAACATGGATGTGCAAACATCTCTTTTAGATTCTGTTTTCAGTTCTTTTGGATATATGCCCAGAAGTGGCCTGCTGGATCACATGGGTAGTTTTATTTTTAAATCTACCATATTATTTCAATAGAGGCGGCTGCACTATTTCACAATCTTACCAACAATGAACAATGATTCTAGTTTCTCCACGTTCTTACCAACATTTGTTATTTTCTGTTTTGTTTTGTTTTGTTATTTTCTGTTTTGTTTTATTTTGTTTTGTTTTTGGTAGTGGCCCTTCCTAATGGGTGTGAGATTTTATTCTTTTTTTTTTAACTCGAAGTAGTTAATACTCTCCAGTTCCTTTCACCCACTTCTCACTTTAACCATCTCTCTATCTTACACCAAAAGAACTTCCGATAACCTCTTTTATTTCTACTTTTCTAGAACTAGCTTAACACACGCGAGTCCAAACTGGAAAAATCAGCAGTGGCTGAAGTTCTTCCTCTCCCCTACTTCACGGCATTCTCTTTTACTTACCGATTCGTCTCAGGGGAGCTAAGCATAAACTTTGCTTCTTTGCTAGGTTCTATGAACATAATGTAATTTTTAATACTACACTTTAACCGGATTTAACCACAAAACACTTCAGAAATCCGGGAAAGGCATTTATTTGTAGGTCCCCTAAAAGTGAAAGTGAAGTCTAGTGCCCCCCCTCTGGGCATGATGATAGGCAATCTGATCAGAATGTTTTTTGGGCTCTGTGATGATCCATACTTCAACTACACCCCATTTTTATTGTTTGATTGTTAAGATGTGTGTCTCCAGTTGATTAGATAAGGAATTCTAAGCAAGGGTGGAGGAGAAAGATGATAACATTAAAGATTTTTCTCTTTCACTTCCTGCTCTCTAAAGCTGGCCTTCATCCTCTGAATTTTCTTCAAGAAGATCCACTTAGTAACTATCTCCTTGCCAAGTGTGGACTCTTGTTTCAAAGTTTTCTGCTTTGAATAAAAAGTCTTTGATTTTTTTTCCGTCTACTCTTAAAAAAAATCGCTGTAGTTAAGTGCCCTGGGCCAAATTCTGGCCTTAGTTACTATTTCTATGGCATTTTGTGTTGTACACATAAGCAAACCCTGAGGACGATTCCGTTACAAACTTTTAATAATAACAACTTACATCTGTGTATTATTTTATATTGTAAAAAACAATTGCATGTACATTTGATCATTTGATATACAAACACACATGCACAAACTGTGCAATAAATAAGGCAGAAATGTTTAGTCTTATTTTATGGGTAAAGTAACTGAAAGTAAAAGAAAATTTAGGTGGTTTCTCCGAGGCCACACAGGCATGGATGTGACTCAAACCCAGATCTTGCAATTCTTAAATCTGTGCTAAGGAAGGTCTTGCTTTGTTTTGTTTTTTAATGATTATGGAATTATAAATACACATACAAAGATAGTTAAATTATTCTTATACCATGAATGGTGCTTCCAAAAGATATGAAAAGTGAGGAAGAAAACATAATTAAATAAAAGTAACCAAATTTGTGAAATGCAGAACATAAGTAGTAAGAACCTTACAGGAACTGTTTGGAAGGAATATCATAGATTGCAAACTAACAGAGGACAATGGTTGAAGTTTATTTAGTTTTGCATTTCAAATAATCCCAGCACAGCATCTTGCACTTAGTGAGTACTAGATGAAGAAATACAATTACCAGAGGTCCTAGAAAAAACTCACCAAGGGTTCAATGGGAGAACTTAATGATAGCGTAATGACAAAAAAAAAAAAAAATAATGAAAAATTTAATAAATCCTTCATGAAATTCTCTCAGGAAAAAAAAAAAAGAGCCCCAACTAGCTAACTAGGACTTCTGTTTCTGTGCCGCCAGAGAACAGGAAGAGAGGAGGAAAGAGACAAAGAAAGGAGGAAAGAGATAAAGAGCTGGCCTTAGTTTACTATGACTCTCATTCCATCCACCTGAGAATCATGTGGTTGATAATAGACGCAAAGTTAGGCGAACTACTTGTGTTGAAAATTTCCACTTTTTGGAAACTGTCATCATTGTTTTGATGTACATAGTGATGTTAATGACCCAACAGTTAATCCAAATATCTGTGGTCACTGGGGCACTGCCTGGCCCACAGCAGGTGGCCAGTAAATGTTATTAACAGAATGAATGAACGTCAGAGGTTACAAGAGCAGACAGGCAATCAGGGAGGCCCTGGAGGAATGGTCCTACATACACACTCTTTTCTCTAACTGCCGCTAAAAAGTGGGGCCTTTTATTTGGAAAAGATGCACTCCTCTGTCACCGTCTCCTTTAGATTTAGTAAGGAAAAGCATCACAAATTACAAGATAAGTCCCTTGGCAAGGGCTCCTTGGGAGGTTGTATGCTGGCCACATCACCAGTGACGTCCACTGGTGCTTCTGGAGTTCATTTTTCCAAATATTTATAGGAGTTTATGATGATTTATTTCACAATTCTATTTCTGATAGAATAAATTGGAAACTTCCAAATGGATTCATAATTTAAATGTTTAAAGGAAATCTATAAAAATTATTAGGTAGAATAAAATAAATATACTTTAGTAAACGGAAGAATTATTTTAT